GTAGGTAGGTAGCTCTTGTCCTCTGGAACTCCAGTGGGGGGGAAATCTCCTCTGGGAATCCAGTGGAAGAAGGCTGCTAGGGTGTTCGAGATCCCAGTTTATATTTAGCATGGACTGCTTGGCTCCTTCCCCCCCGGGCGGAGCATCTCACAATGGGATGGTGAGTCATGAGGCAGTTCCTTGATGGGCCATTAACAGGAGATAGTCCAGGAGCGAGTTATCGATGGGTCAGGCGATAAGGCATTGTTGTGCCCAGTAACAGGAGATAGTCCAGAGGGGGGAGGCAGGGAGCACCGCCCCACCTGGTCTCAACAGCTCCTGAAGATGGTAATAGAATACTTTTTGGGCATATCTTACACTGTAACCTAGGACAAGTAGCCATCCTCTGCTTTCAGATAGGGCACTTCAACTTTCTCTCTAACTTGTGTGAGGTGCCTAAGGACAGCTGAGTTGAGGGGCATAGCCTGGGGGTCACCATGTCTTTTATGCCAACAGGTAGCAAATGCTACTTGATTGTCTGCTGGGTGAGAATGCAGTTTCACTGAGATATGGAAGCCCAGTAAACCAGAGGTAAATCAGCCTTGAGAAGCAAAAGCCTTTCAAGTAAGACAAAACCATGATGTATTACCAGTTTCACACACAGGTCAAGTTCCCGAAGTGTTGCGAGAACTAGAGGGACAGGGAAGGACACTCTGGTCACCACACGGCTAGGAAACAGGGAAGAGGACATGTGTTTCTATCTTTCTGCTTTGCTTCTTGCAGGAAACAAGAAGTGTTGAAGCAAAGCGTTTGATTTTTGATGAGTCCCTACACAGCAGCGTACAGGCAGGCAGAGGGGATCCACCAACAGAATGGTTGAGCTTGGAAGGGACCTCTGGAGGTCATCTGGTCCATTCCCCTCTGGGCAGGGAAACCAGAAGGTGCTCTAGTGGACAGCCCAGCAAGCAACCCCTTTCCCAGCCTGCAGGACCTGGGGTACCTGCCAGCCCTGTGACCTGTTCTAGCAGACCACCTCAGACTGAACCACTGGGCTCACCTTAAGAAAATCTTTCAGGAGAATTTCTGATCGCTCCTCAAATTCCTCCTGGATTTGAGCTTGGGAGTCCATGTCCAAATAAACTAGATTGATCCACTCATACAAGATTTCATGCTGGAAGGGAAATGGATTTGAATTCTGAATTTGCAAAAGTAAAAAGGATTCCCCAGTCGCCCCTTACCCAGCTGGCCACAGGGCTGCATTCCTCCCCACACACACTCCATCCCTTTCTTCTTTTTTTTTTTTTAATTTCACCATGAGTGTTTCCTGCATTCTCTGCACTACTGTAGGCATGCAAAGTGTATGGAGTCAAGAAAGATATACAAGAATGAAACCAGCTACGAATTTATGGACAGGAAACAAAAAAGAAAATGGCACAAATTAAAGATTAAAGCATCCCCAAGCATCCGTGCATCCCGTGACAGGTATTCCAGGGACAAAAGAATTAGAAATGCAGACAGGCAGATCTAAGCTTATTACTCACATCATAGGGGATGTGTGGGCTCCTGGGCGAGGGAGCTTCAACGTGGCGTGCAGGTCTGTCTATTGATGGGCCGTGAAACCAGCCACTCACTGACAAGCGGCACTTCTCCTCTGACAGAACTTCTGACACCTGGAACAACATTGAGCAGCAACGTTACTGTTTAGACTACGAGACATTTAAAGACCAGCTGTAACAGGCATCATGTAGACATAGGAGACAGACCTGACTCTGGAGAGCCTCCTGCATACACAGAGAAGTCAGCCAAGGGCTGGACCAGGCTGGATTATTCTTGGCTTACAGAAAGAGGGCTTAAAGCAAACTTTGATGCTCAAGTCCATTGTAGGTTTTCAGAATCCCAGTCCAAGCTTGTACTCTAAGCTCCCAGCAGCATCCATTCCCTCTCTCTGAGGACTCGGAGTCACTTTGTTATTAAAAGTAAGGGTATTTTAGTTTTCTATCATTTGTTCTGTCGAAGAACCTGATATCATGGGCTGCAAAAATCAGCTGTCACAGCTTAACCTGGAAACTCTGAAAACACTGAGCATCTGTGAGCCACAGCAGACTGTATCAGGCTACTTTTCTGTCTTTTAATTTTCAAGAACTGCTGTAATACAAGCCATCATGAAGGGCATTTATCTGATGCTTTTGGCTCTGGATTAAAGGTTGACCTATTGGTCAGACTAAGAGCAATGCCTCTATCCTGGCATTTACCCTGATCTGTGGAAACCCTTGGTTTTTGCACAGTGATAGCGACCATTAAATCTTGATTTCATCAAATTGCACACTGAGGTAAACTGGGCTAAACTGAACAATTTCACATTCTAGGGTGCTCTACTGTAACGGCAGTGTAAAGAGAAAGCCATCCCCTTGACTGGACGCTAGCCACAAACTGTGAATTTTTGCATAGCACACTAAGACTTTGCACTGGTTTTCCACTTGTTTTTTAGAACAGTCTGATGGAACAGGAGGAAGAAATGCAGCTTGCTCCAAAAAGGTTTTGGCTCTTATTGATTTGTTACAGAGCTGTAGTGGCCCTTTCTTTGCATCACTTAGAGGTGTACTAGGTCGTCTGGAATGGCTACTGAAGTTGCTTGGGAAGTGGAAAGCAGAAAACTGCCTGCCATTGCCTGCTCACGGACCTGCTCTGTTCAGCAGACGCCCAAAGCTTTGTTACCTCCCAAAGAAATGTATGCCCTGACATCCAAAACCTGAAGATCTATTAGCAAGTACTGAATAAATGCTCTTTACCCAATGTCTGAGCAGGCTTTAAGGCTGGCATGTGCCATGAAGGCTTTGCATCAGTATGACCCTCACACAGTCCTCCAACAGCAGTTCACAGGCTCTACGCCCTACGGACCAACGGGTCAAAGAAATGATTTAGTGCTGCAGCCAACACCCTGGGCACCACCAGTGAGGTCCAGATCTGGGAGGCTTTGATACGCAGCACCCCCAGCTAAGCTTAATGCTTACTTTAAAAATAAGTTTATTATTTAAGCTGGGTTTATTGCCTGTGTTAACAGTATCAGAGACAGCACACACGACTCTGAATAGTGCTAACACGTGGCACTGAGTTTAGGTCAGCAGGAGGCAGTCACAAGCCTAAGTGGAACATGGATTTTTATGACAAGATTAAATCACTACCTGAAAAAAATAGGGCAGTGACCAAGCAGTTGCTTCTGTTAACTAACCATAAAACATAAATGACACAACAATAAAACCCTAAGCAGTCTAGGTGAGGACATGCCCAACCTACATCACTGATCATCTTCCTCTCCAACCTCCTGCTCTTTGGCCCAGTTTGTTACAGTCTGTGGTATTCACAGGAGTTCCAGATTTCAGCCAGATGTTTGGATCATGCAGTTCCACAGACTATTTATCATCCTGTTCCCAGGCATCTTCCCGATAAGTGCCACAAAGTGCTGCTGAACAGTATCAGCATTTCTGCCGTAGGGTACTGCGCTACATCTGCGTTACCAGGGGCTAAAGCTGTATCTGCACAGCGCCCTGTTGGCAAGGTTAGGTGCTGATGAGCTCTCTTGGAGCAAACTCATGGCTTCATCCACATGAAAAATGTGAGTTAGTTTAGAACAAACAAATAAAAACCTCTCTAATCGCCACAGCCAAATCCACAACAGTGGCTTGCCAGGACAGCAACATAAAACAGAAATGGAAATTTTTCTTCCCCCAGGACGATGAAGCTAGACTGACAGTTTAAAGTTGGCTTTGTCAGTTCTTGTTGTCCTTAAAGTCCTTGAAGCCCTGCCTTCAACACACAGCACTGTGCGCAAGTATCCACTCTGCCCGCACTTCTCCCTCCCCATCAGGGCTGTAATAACACACAAAGCGAATAACCACAACAACGAGAACCAACAAATGAACAAGAGACAGCTCCTTGCCTGGTGGAAAGAGACTGGAGACACTTCAAAGAAAACCAGCGTGTTCCACGAAGGCACTAATGACTTGACGATTCGCTGTGGCTGAAAGTGTCCTAAAGAGGAAGAAAATGTACTCTGGTTAAGGTATGAACTGGAACTCACTAGAAACTGCCATTTCTCTGACTTCACGACATTGTGACTGGCAAGACACCTGGCTATAAGGGATGGAGCTCAGAGCAAGGGCTTGGGGAGGAATCAGGGAACTTCTGTTGCTGGAAAGGGAAGTCATCTATATCACTTTAGAGTGTGTGTGTGTGCATGTGTGGAAAGATTGCCCCCTTCTTTAGCTTCTCCTTTTTCTCTACTGTCATCCATGAGCATTGCCTGCACACTGACTGCTACAGCCCATCTCTATGGTGCAAATTTTACATAAATGTCAGCTTCTCTGTATTAAGAAGAAACTTTAATTTCGTTGTACTGTTTGAGAGAGCGGTGCTGCAAGGGGCGCACAAGCTTCATCTGTTTCAGCCACCTAAGGCTGAGCTCAAGGCTCTTACCATCTGTGCTATACAGGTCCAGTGTTCCCCCATCGCTTTTCTCCCAGGGTGGCACGAGGTACAGGATGAAAGCAATTCTCCGACCTTCCAGCTCATCGTCATGGCACAGCAAGACATCTGCAATTACACACGTTTTGCTGCAGTAGTGCCTTTCCAGCACACGCATGATTCATTCCGATGGCTGCTTCCCAGCTTTGTCCCCGCAAGGATACAACAGGAAAAAAAAATGCCCTTTCCAGGAACTGCATTTTCACTTATCAGCTTCACCAGCCCAAGATCTGCAAGATTAACTTTTGTGGGACTGCGCTGCATTTGGCCCACTCTGAAGGTACCGGCAGTCACAACTCGTCATCCACCCCTCCCTGGCTGCTCCTGGGCTGAGTGGACAGAGATTCCCAGGACAAATAACTATTCAAGCTCTTTTAAATACAGAGCTGCCCTTCGAGTAGGTTTCTTACTGGAAGAGAGGGGAGGGGGAGCCCTGTGAACAGAAAAGCTGGAACAACAATTGGTTGTGCTAAAGATTCTTTAAAAGTAGAGCCGACAGCAGTAAAAATTTTCTCCTCCTGACAGTGATTTTGCATAACTAAAAGGGTAGGTGTGGTTGTAATCTGAACTCAACCAAGGTGACATTTTAGCATCAGACTTCACAAGCTCAACTTTTGGAAGCTGAACACATTGCCCTTTTACAGGGAAGCAGGCATGCGAACACAGGCTGTACACCTCCAAGAACGTGGGGGCTTGCAACAGCACTGGGCCCAGTTAAAGCCATCAGCAATATGACTAAGCAACAGTTTCGCCATAATTGGGACTTCATTTTCCGAGACTCTGATTTGCTGCTGATAGCTTCTAGGACCCTCTGGAACTGCAAAAGGGCTGCGGTGGGTTATGGAATTAGGTATTCTGTAGACATAACAGTTTCCTATACACCTATAGAAGCATCAGAGAAAGGATCATGTATAGACTGACCAGTATACTCGTATTTAGCACAGGAGATGTCAATAGTTGGCTCCAGCTCTATCTGGGTCACAGCAGAAAGCCACGCTCGGAATTCTTCACATAGGGCATGCCTGAGAAGACAGACACAAGGTAAGTGTCCTCCAGCATTATAAAATGTATCACTATAGCCTAAAGGAGTCCATTATCTCCTTTTCAACTATTTAAAGGTGCTGTTGCTGCCAATGACAACGCATTCCTGTAGAACCACACAGGAGCTGCCAGGAAAACAGCCCAGTGTTCACAGCACTGATGACAACAGCCAGCAGCGAGCGTGAAACCAGTTGTAAGGGGAACAGGTACGCGTTTCAGAAGTGACAGACACACGAGGGCTGAATCAGACTGCACCGCTCGGAGGAAAACAATTAACCCACTTCAGGGCCACGACCCGCATCGAGTAGATTCAGCTCTTCAGGGCCGCTTTCTGGCCCAGCCACCGTGGCAGAAGGCGGCCAAGCGCCGCCTGGCCCACCCCGCAGCCCCTCGCCTTCCCAGGGGAGCCGGCCAGGGCTTCTCCCCTCCCCGATCCGGCGCTTTACCTCAGCGCGGCGACGTGGGGCTCCGGCCTTCCCCTCAGCTCCTCGGACTGCGGCGGCCCATGGAAGAGAAGAAGGGACGGGGGTTACGGCGGCGCGGCCTGGCTCGGCGCGGCCC